GATGGATGGATGGATGGATGGATGGATGGATGGATGGATGGATGGATGGATGGATGGATGGATGGATGGATGGATGGATGGATGGATGGATGGATGGATGGATGGATGGATGGATGGATGGATGGATGGATGGATGGATGGATGGATGGATGGATGGATGGATGGATGGATGGATGGATGGATGGATGGATGGATGGATGGATGGATGGATGGATGGATGGATGGATGGATGGATGGATGGATGGATGGATGGATGGATGGATGGATGGATGGATGGATGGATGGATGGATGGATGGATGGATGGATGGATGGATGGATGGATGGATGGATGGATGGATGGATGGATGGATGGATGGATGGATGGATGGATGGATGGATGGATGGATGGATGGATAGATAGATAGATGGATGGATGGATGGATGGATGGATGGATGGATGGATGGATGGATGGATGGCTGGAGGTGTCTTACTCTATCTTCTTGAACCTCTCTCGTCCAGCAGCCACGTACTGCTCTCCGCTGCGCAGGTGCTCCAGGGTCTGGACGCGGTGTCCGGCTTTGGGTGTGTAGATGCTCCGCACCGCGCCGAACGGAGCCCTCACGCCGCCAGTCACCTCCCGCAGAAGCGTGTCGAAGGTCGAAACCCGCTTCGAGTTAATCACCAAACGCCTGGGCTCGTAATACGGATCCCCATTGCGATAGAAGTAGATATTTTTCACCTCGGGTTGAGACAGAAAGTGTGGCTTCTCCGCACTCATGGCCAGCAGAGGTGAAGCTAGCGATGGAGAGTCAGATATATCTCCAGAGCAGAGCAGCGCATCTGAGCCGCATGGTCCAAACGACACAGACACACGTTTGATTAACACACCAACACGATTTTAAGCCAAGCAAAAGTGGAAACGGTGGATTTTGCGCGAATAAAGCTTTCCAGCATGTTCATATCATGATGAAAAAGAGAAAGATGCAGCGCACTGAAAGCGATGGTCATCGGTTTCTATAGAGACATTACAATCTTAAAGCCCGCTGATACCACTCTACACTAACTCCAGAGACTCCGTGTATGGCAAGCTGCTTTAACATTTAGCCTTTACCCAGCTAACAATTTTTGGTTCTCAGAACGTTCCCAGAACAGCTTTCTTTTTTCTTCGTATAACGTTATTATAACGTTGCCTTTACGTTATTATAGCGTTTCCCCTACCTCTTTACTCTGATATGATCACCCCGTTATATGTCAGTAATCATCCAGCACACTCGTGACCCAGTATAAGCGGCATGGATGCCTTTATGTTATCACTCTATGCTTAACCCTGACTCCATATTATAATGTAAAACGTGTTTTGATTGATCTAATTTCTGTATTTTAATAAAGGCTGCATTAAACGAATTTCAGGGCTCTGTCATTACACAAAAACATCTGCAATGTTTTCATTGGAAATATAGTTTTACAGGGTTATAACAATAACCTGAGAATAACCATTAGGGAACGTTCTCTGTAAGATATTTTAGGTTATTTAATAATAACCTCCATGCAATGTTCTGGGAACGTTATTTTATGGTTAAAAAAAATAATAAATAAATAAAAAGAACGTTCCCCTAACGGTAGTATTTGGTTCCCAAAAAAATAACCAAACGGGAACCAAAAACTAACGTTAGGGGAACGTTCTGTGTTTGCTGGGTAGCTTGCCTTAATACAATCGTCATATTTTTGTTCCTAGTATTCCAAAAGTTAGGATTTTAGCAAGCTTGATAATAACTTTATTTGACAGTAGCACTTATTCCTGTGAAAGTCCTTTTCCGCAAAGGAATTAGAAAAAATTAAAAATAAATAATAATAATAATAATAATAATAATAATAATAATAATAATAATAATAATAATAATAATAATATATAAACTCAATGTTTTGAATTCTTGCAATCTGCGTGATGGTTCAGTAATGACTTGCGTTAAATAACGTAGTGCAGTGTTCACAGCATGTACAATCTTAGCAGAAAAAAAACATGTTTACAGCCTGGTACAAAAAGTGGTTTTGGTCTAGATAGCTAATTTTGCCCTTCATGATAACTGTGAGGAGAGTGAATTTTTTTATAACTCATCCGTTTAAATTATATTAAGTCTTAAAGTTTTGCATAATTAAGGGCGTGGCCACTTGAGTGACAGGCGGATTGCCGCTGCTGACACCGCCGTCGACCTAGGTGGGCGTGGCTTCAGCAACCTGCTCCCGCCTCTTTGCCCATTTTAGGTTATCCGGGAGTGACGCGCTGCCAAGATGGCGACGGCCGGCTCCGCCCACTTTTGAGCTTCAAAAAACGCTCTTCAGAAACCTACTGAGAAAGTGAAAGTGAAGAGAAAGAGCACGAGAAAGTGCATGACAAAGTAAGTTACTTCGATGTATATCGTTAATTAGATTGTTACAGTGTACCACAATTGTGTTAACTTTGACAGTGTTTATGATGTATATTTCTCAGTTTATTTCCTTTTATCAGTGCACTTTACACAGTTGTTTATGATAGAGTTTGTGATATATTGAGTCATTGGTTATATTTAGAAAATGTATATTTATCTCTGTTATTTTATGTATTTCAGAAACTACCTCAAATATACTAACGTGTATATGGTCAAATCTTGTGCAATAAACAGTCAGACTCAATACGATGACAAGAGTTCTGCAGCGGTCAATAACTATTACCCAGCATTCAGTGGGGCAATCCCCAATACTCAGAATTTGTTTTTTGTTTTTTTGCACTTCCAAGTTTACATCTCACAATTCTGCATTTAGTTTTTTTGTTTGTTTTTGCCACAGAATTAAAAAAAAAAAAAAAAAATCTGACTTTTCTTCTTAGCATTGCAAGTTTATATCTAGCTAAAAACTCCCAATTCCGAGTTAATATCTTACTATTATGATTTTATATCTCACAGTTATACGAGTTTATCTATAGTTTATATCTTGAAATTATGTCAGAATTGTGAGAACTTAGAATTGCAAGGAAGAAAAAAGTCAGAATTGTCAGATAAAAAGTCTCAATTACATGTAATTGTTTATATGTTTATTTTTATTCTGTGGCAGAAATGGGCTGCTATATAAATCAGCTCATGGAAGAGAAGAGTTTTCATGTCTTTACTAGTACTTATTTTTAAGATACTGTACTAGTAATGAGACACTAGTATTTATTCGAATTGCTGCTAGTAACATTTCACTAGATATAAATTGTACTCGTCATATCAGCATAGGTGTTTTAAAGTTCAGTTTTACTAGTAACTAGTAGTAAAGCACCAGTGTTGTAGTACTTGAGTCCAGACAAGTCTGCACTCACAGTCCAGTGCATCTCAAATCAAAGCCACTGAGTTCAAGACCATGTTATATTATATTTTAATTCCCAGTCTGACCAGATCAAAAGTGTTCAGACCCAAACTCTTTAAAACCAGCTAGCAGACTAACTCTGGAGGACCACCTAAGACTAGCAAACCAGTCTGTTAAATGCTGGTTTATACATTTATTTTGTTAGAAGAATAAGTACTTACAGTGAAATTACTGGTCAAATATCTCACTTTTGGATGACTTACTGGTACTAGTACTCAAGCTTAGAAATGACTAGACTTGCCATGCTGAGTATTTTCCAGTAAATGTGATTTTACAGTATTCACCATCAGAAATGACCTTTTTAGTGCTTTCCATCCAGACGTTCATGTATGTCCCCCGATGAATGAGGATGTATACATCACCCAATAGAGTAAACCTGAGTCTTCATTCAATCTAATTGGACACCAAGGAGTTCATGTGGAAGTACAGCCCCTCTGATGCTCTAACCTTGGAACAAAAAACATGTTTGTTTTGTGTGTTGCATAACAACTGCCTATTAAATGCCTTGACCATTTGCAAGATTAGTGGAAAGGGAAAGCAGCCTTGAAAATTTGGTTAATTAGTGCATCTCTGCACACAGCATTTTCACATGTAGAAGAGAGCCACTAAGCAGATGCCCTCATCTTGAACAACTTACAAAACATGTTTGACTCATTTTGGTGTTCCACCTCCAATTATTAAGAAATCAGAAGTCAGAAAGAGCTTTATTAACAAGTATGTTTACACATACAAGGAATTTGACTTGGCGACAGGAGCTTCCAATGCAGAAGAAAGCATGGACATAATGTAAATATACATGATAGTGCAGACATACATAGGAATTACACAGTAGAGATGTGAAATAGCTGTTTGCTATCAGCTATTTCTAGCTAATTTAACCCATAAACATGAGCTTTTTGGTATGAATGATTGTATATAGGTTCAGTGATGTTGAATAATATTTCTGACTCTGAAAATAAAAAAATCAAAACCAGTTGATTTAGATATGACTATTTTAGGTTAGTTTTTTTTTTCTTCAGTGAAGGAATAAAGGCTACACAAGTTTGAAACAACATGAGGGTGAGTAAAGGATGACAGAATTAAAAAAAAAATCACCTCCAATGTAAACATTTACAGCGCGCTAATCCAGAGGCCGCTGCAAATACCAGAAGTGATAAAACTACAGCCGCACACACTTCCTCGTCCAACAACAGTGGCCACAAAAAAATCAGCTCCACAGTTCCTTCATCACTCATGAATTCTCATACGTATGTTCCTCCACTCCCCAGGCAAGAACCAACTATCCCAACTTACTCTTTTCTACTTCCATTCCTCATCCACCTCCTTGACAATTTCCTTGTCATTTCACAAAATCATTCTCCTGCAGCTTTTCTAGATGCTAACCATTGCAGCAAGCGTGATTTGCTTTCTCTCCTAGGCCACCTAAATTACGCTATGTGCATACTTCCCCAAGGCCGGCCTTTCATTTCTCACCTGCTAACTCTCGCTAGCTCAGCCTCAAGTCAAAAACATCCTCTTTCACTGCGATAATTTTGCCACTGTCCACTGTATCAACAAAGGCCATTCTCATGCTTCTAAATTCATGCACTTTCTAAGAAGTCTAATTTGGATCTCTGCCTGTCACCAATTCGTCATTAAAGCTGAACATATTCCCGGTCACCAAAATCAAATCGCTGACGCATTATCTCGTTTTCTTTTTCAGAAATTCAAAACCTTGGCTCCGGAAGCAGACTCCAACCCAGCTCCAGTTCCTCTTTATTCAGAACACTTATTGCTGTAGACCACCCCCTCAGACACCTCCATACCCTATTTACCAATACCATATTACAAGCTGTTTCTCCCAGAGCACTCCAAACCTACTGGACAGCTTGGTGTTCCACAGAGCTCACAACAGGTTTTTTCCTGAGTTTTCCCTCCTCTCAATATCCTCCTTCATCAGTTACCTCAATCATATCAATTCAATTAAACCAGGATCAATCAAAGTCTACCTCAGTGGCATTCATTTCTTTTTCAAGCTCATCCATGGTCAACAGTGACCCAACATTTCAAACCCTCAGATATCTCTCCTCATCAAAGGTTTACAAAAAAACCAATCTCCCTTGTCCAGACACTAGACAACCCTTAACCATCGAGCTGCTCAGCATATGCCTAACTATTCTCTGCTCAGCTTCTTTTCCCCCCTAAAAAAACAAGAACCCTAGATGCCATGTTCAATTTGGCTTTCTTCGGCTCCCTCAGAGTCTCAGAACTCACCACCAACTCAAACTTCAACTCAGCCATACATCCTAAATTCTCAGTTCAACATCAAAGCAAAAATGATCAACTGAATCTCCATTCAATCTTCATTTTCAATTTGCCAACCCCCGTTCAACCATATCAGTCCATAGCCCTTTTTCTTCACCAGAGGAAATCCCAAAATTACCTCTCCTCTCAAAGCTATTTTTATCGATGATAAAAACCTTCCTGCCTCCAGATATTGGTTTCAAAATAATCTCAAATCCATCCTCAACAGATCCGGCATCCCAACTAAACATTTTTCTTCCCATTCTTTCCGCATAGGGGCAGCCACCATGGGGGGTGGCGCTCATCTGTTGCTTTCATTGACGTTAACTCTGTTAAATTTACATATAGTGC